CTAGATGTCCCACAAAAACTTTGGGCCCGATTGGTTCAGCCGTTTTGACGTTTATTGGATACAAACAGACAGACAGACAGACAAGCCAAATTTATATATAGAAGTGACTTTCGCAATTCTACTGCAGAAAAATATATTTGAATTATCTGAATAAAATAGGACTAGAAAAACGACCATATCTTCCGCATTCACGACAAAATATAGAAAAATGCCCGTAAGATTAAAAGTACTTTCAATATGTAACCAAATAAATTTGCTTTTTTACACTTAACTAGAGGAGCAACGGAGTCACAAAGTCGTAGGAGTAATGTCAATTGATTTTGACCTTCTCCTCTCCTGGTTAGTTTGTAGTGATTACTGATCATATAAAGATTTCAAGATAAAATTATGCCTCTTTAAAATATAAATTTCAGGATAATGGAACATATTCCTTAGAGTCTGATAAGAAGATTATAACACTGAAATTCCGACCTGAAAACCTGTTTCCTCCTTTGTTTAGTAAACAAGTATATTCGGCTCAAGTACCGAACCAAAAGGTAATTTTCCTTTTCGATAAACAGTTTTTTTATTGCGATACAATATAGGTTGAACCACCACTTGGACGATTTCTAGATTATCTTGATCATTAATAACTATATTTTCACAATTATAATTTATTTAATCGACTGAATATATACAGGGTGCACCCTCGAACATGACAGTTGAGAGGAAGCTATTGTAGATTGTCTTTCAGCTTAAAATTATTTGCGGCAGTCATTTTTCAACTTACTTTTCATCTCTCAACTATCGTAATTTGTTGAACTCTGCGTTCTTAAAAGTTTTTATCGAACCCATTTTTCAATAATACAACTTCTCACATAGTAACAATCTAGGTACCGATCGATCTCCCCATACTTGACTCTAACTTGCCAAAACCCTGGCTCTATACGTCCGTTTGAAAAGACTATTGATACTATACTAATTTATTGATACAGGTAGATATGAGTTGACCGGACTCGCCGGTCAGGGTCAAACAGAAACATTGATAATAGATAAATGAAACATAAATAATAAAGATATTATACTAGTATAGCCCCAAAATTTATTACAACATAAAGCCTAAAGTGATTTTTCTATTCAGTTTACCACCTCCACGCCACTAACAACACTTCAAGCTGAAGACGGAGATAAATCTTCAGAAATAGTGTTCGAACTTGTTGACATTGCTGGTATTACAGACGGTAAATTATTCAGGTTTTTAAATATTTTTGAGATTGCAAACATGATCAAACTTTTCACAACTATCTTTGTGATCTAATTATTTAAATATGATTATACAAACTTTAGATTGAATCTTCTGCCTGAATATATTCTTTAATTTGGTCATTAACCCTATCCCTGCGCGCTGGGGTACTTGAAAACAAGGATACGCTGAGGGGGGGGTCAAATCCCATGTACAAATATGACAAATGTTACATCATTAGAATGCTCTACTTTTAGAATCTGCCAAAAAATTAGCAAATTTGCAAAAATTGGATTTTTTTTGTTGCAAAATCTAGTTATATAGTAAAAATGTACCAAAAATGATAAAATATAGGTATTTGAAAAGCCCTTGACCATGCCATTTCAAATATGCAAAAATTCTTGCAAAATTTTAATTAACCTGATGTGTAATTAAGAAAAACTTTAAAATGTACGAATTTCTTTTAACGGGTTGTTGGCAAATAGTTTGCAAAAATTTCTTTGCAAAATCCATTTCCTTTTCAAAAAGCTAAAAATTATCAAAATCTGACAACTAAATGGGGGTCAAAACAAAGATTTAGTTTGTTACAGGAAAAAGTAGTCATTTAGGCAGTGTGTCTGAGGACTCAGGCAGTTAGTATAAAAGCCCTGTTTTAGACCTAAAGAAAGGGCTATGGTTATTAAGGAAAAGTTAAAAAATTTCAACAGACCCAAACCAATAATTTTTGAATTATGTAAAAAAAAACTAGAGGAAAAGGGTTCAATGATTTGGTAAAGTAAGAGAGAAGTTACAGTTGCAGGGAATCATTAGTATAAAAAAACAGACAGTGTTAAATAGGTTAAAAAGGTTAAATATTGAAATAAGAGGAGAAAAAGAAATATTTACTTACATTTATTTCTTCACTTTTTAAACTAACAAAGTAACTGACAAGAATTAGAATGTGTCCAAAATTTACATAGCAAGGCTGTGTGCGCGCAGATTTCAAGGTTTGCACGCAGAGCAATAAATGTTTAAAGGGGTAAACCTCCAAGAATATGTTTGAAGGGGTAAACCTCCAAGAATATATTTAAAGTAAACCTCCAAGGCTGTGTGCGCGCAGATTTCAAGGTTTGCACGCAGAGCAATAAATGTTTAAAGGGGTAAACCTCCAAGAATATGTTTGAAGGGGTAAACCTCCAAGAATATATTTAAAGTAAACCTCCAAGAATATATGTTTAAAGGGGAAAACCTCCAAGAATATGTATAAAAGGGGTAAACCTCCAAGAATATGCAGATGCAGTATTTTAAAATGCTGCAAGTATAAACTCTATGGAGTCCTTTGTCGGTAACCTTGTATGAAAGGTGTGCAAAATATTATGTTTATTCACAACAAATGTTGTAATTTTAGTTTGAGGCAAAAATCCAAATTATGTTTAGGGAAGGACTATTTTAACCTCGGAGAGAA